ATTTTTTAAAGATATAAACATAAAATCTGAGATATGTCGACGATTTCGGAACATGCCTTTAAATTCATTTACACTTATTGCTCTTCAAAATGTTTATATACAAAATATTTTTAATAATATTTAAAGGAAAATTTAATAATTATTATTTGAAAAAAAAAAAAGATTTTATTGAATTAATATAAGCTTGTAATATACTTGTATTTATATATGAAAAAATCTGGTTAGTTATTAGTTTTTAAGAATGACTGAAACAGAAATTTTGAAAAATGTAGATTTCATATTTGTGTGTGTGTGTGTGTGTGTTTTTCGAATTATATACAAAAACAGCAAAATTGTTTTCTAGCTATAAAAAAAACGTATTTACAATTAGTAAATTTATAAAATTTAATTTTTTAGATTTTTACTAAGTCGAGAATCCATTTAAAAATATTAATATTAGCTAAATTTAATTGAATACTATTTTGTATTTATTTATTATTTTTTTAAATTTATATTTATTTTTTTTTATAATATAAACGATACGTAATTAAATATACTATAATTTAAACACTAAAAGGTACAATAATTTGTATTTTCTCATTTCTTTTCTTTTATTAAATCGCGAATATATTCAAGTCTAATTTCGCAACTGTCCAATCACATAACTATAAACATAACATAAAGTTTGTGTTGATATAATGCCATGTAAGCAGTTATTAAGTATATCAAGAAAAACCTTTAAAAATATATATATATGTATATGTGTATTTAAGTAACGCATTTGTGCACACCGAAAACAGAAAGCACTGGACATACAGCTAGGACTGGAGTGCGCAGGGCAGGGCAGAGCAGACCAGACCAGGGCAGGGCAGGGCAGAGCAGAGCAGGATAGGCAGCTGTCTGGGCTGGGGCAGCTCGTTGCGAGTCGTAAGTTGGGCAGTTGGCCAGGTGCGGGTGCCACAAACTGGTTGCTCAGCGATGGCCAAACGGCGATCGGCCGGCTGCCTCTCTGTCCGTCTCTCCGTCCGTCTGCGCTGACCAGGCTGCGCAGGCTGCCTAGGTTAGAGTTGGGTCTGGCTCTGGCTCTGGCTCTGGCTCTGGCTCGAGCTGCGTGGTACACACCCGCATCGTGGCAGCGCTAGCTGGCGCAGTTTAAAACCAGATTAGCGCCCAAGTCGATGGCTAATTTTTGTGGTCTTTTGGCTCGTTGGCCGGTGGCCGCGGCGTTGGGTTTTAAGCAAATTTGAATTTGAATTTTAGCGGGTGATAGTCGTTTGAACATACATATCTACTACTAGTTACTATTGCTGTTCCTATTATTGTTGCTGTTGCTGTTGCTGTAGCTGTGAATCGCCGGCCACTTGGTCAGTTGGCGAATGTGTTTTATTTTTGCTCTCTCTCTTTTTTTGGCCGTTGTTCCACAATCGTTGCGCTGTCCAGTTGACAGTGCCATTCGCCCGTGCCCAGCCTCAGCCTCAGCTTAAGCTTCAGCCTTTGAGTGCCCGTTTGGGTCTCAGTTTTGGTGTCTCGCTGAAATATGGGATGACATGGAGCCATGCTTATGGTTACGTGTGCACACGCCGAGTAGCCACTGAAGCTGATTACGAAACGCTGACCTTTTCGCCAGCTGCTCCGCCGGCTCCACTTGTCAGCGCCTTTGGCGGCATTTTTCGTTTTGCTGCTGCTTGGCGAAAGGTTTATGTCAACTGTCGATTGAGCTCCTCTAGCTGCTAGCTGCTCAGCCGCTGATTGTGCTCCCAGTTGTTTCCATTTAATTTGAACATAATTTAGGCACAACTTGTGCCTTTGATAGCCCAAGTGCCCAACTGCGAACACACATCGAACCTTCCACTCCCCACTCATCGGGTCGAGTGTTCCAAGCAAAGGTGCACCATTGTATCGTGAAATATTCACAGTGCATTTGGCAAAATATTTGCTCAAACGATATTTGGATATGAGTGCAAATCGTGACTCAAAGTTGGTCTTCGCTTTACTCATCCAATATTTATATATAGCGCTTTTTTTTTTTATTTATCAAATAAATTCTACCTTTTC